TAAAAACGAAGGTAATTTTTCAGTATTTCCTAGACTATTTAAATTAGAAAAACATAGATAATAAATGGATGATGTTTGACAAAACAAATATCATTTTAGTAGCGATGACCCAACTTCCTGAAATAGTACCTAAGCATTCACGATTCTGAAACTGTACTGATTTGAGTTGGGACTAGGATTGCACTCTGGCTGTTATATCCATATAAATGAGAAATATACTTTATTCATTGCTTCAATTCATTGTTAGGAATCAATTCAACATAAATATTACAAAATGTTAATGTAATTACAATAAAGTTTAATGATAGGTATAAAACAGAAAATTAAACATCTCAAGTAAGCATCGTAAATAATGCAACTGGAATCCAAATCTGCATAATGAAAAATAAATTTATATCAGGTTATAATTTGGAAAAATTTCAAAATCACAGTCTCCAAAATGCAGGAAAAGGAAACAAACCTGTCAATGTTTCGACAATTCAGGTATCATCAGGAAAAAACCAGAACTCCGCAAATAAAGTAGCCGCCATATCCCTAAGGTCGATGAAGGGGTGCGAAGAAGATGGTATCATGGTTGCGCCATCGAAATTTTTGAGGGGAGGAACATTTCTACGAGGTTATAAATTTTCGTTGCGAAAATATTCCAACCAATGATCTAGGGGTAAAACATGGAAGATAGAACAGCTAGTGTAATTGCATATCATCAAAGATTTATTTAAATCTACTTTCGCTTGCACTGTTTTTAAGAAGAGAAGAAGCAATAAGAAGTAATAATATTTCTGGGGAGAGGGAGGTGGTTCATGAGCGCCATCGATCTTGGGGTGGTGGGCACCCCTGGGTCGATGGTTCATTGTCATCTCCACCCACCAAGAAATTTCATTGCACTCCTCTTATTAAAAACAGTGCAAGCGAAAGAAAAATCGTATATCGTGTCCCATTTCATTTGCGATGGTCTGTTCCATAATTTATCTTTCGTTCTCTGGTTTGAAGCTTTTCATTCCGAACATTGATAAACTCTATATAGATTAATCGGTGCCAACATCTTGCTCTGGACTAATGGTTAATGTATAACAAATACAAAATACTCTTTTTGCAAACAAATTATGTATTCCGTGATTAAAATACAAGTATCAAATATTCATATGAGTTTTTTTAGAAGAACTAAATCAAGCACACAAAGTTAAAGAAATCTTATAAAAATTATCAAAACACAAGTATTTTTATTTTAATCTGAAATAATGCTTATAAAAAACGTCTTGATATTCATTAATAAATGACAGTAACAAAGCCAACTTCATGGCATTGTTATGAATAACTCATAAAGTAGACATCGGACAAGCTCCAATATGAAACTAAACGGATATCTAATCTATCTGTGAAGTAAATATTAATAATAATAAGGCTTAGCTAATCCGAAGGTTCGATGCCGATACCACGAATCGATGTCCACATTCCTCCATCCACCGGGCTCCGTCTAAACCCAATCCCGCCAAATTAGAATTAACCCAATCTACCCATCTTCGCTTTGGTCTATCCCTCAGACGCTTGCCAGTTGGTACAGCGCATATTAATTTTTTAGGAATTCTTTCGTTACTGAGCCCAGCGATTTTACATGCCCATTTATTCGCCTCAACTTAATCACCTCAATTATACTAACCAGACACCGTTCACACAATTCAGCGTTGTGTAACCGCCTAAATTCTCTGGTAGACTCGTCCTTTTTCGGGACGAATATTCTGTGCAATACTTTATTTTCAAAAACTTTAAGACGTTGCTCATCCCATACTGCAAGCGGTCACGTTTCGCATCCATAAAGAACTGTAGGTAAGATAATGGTTTTGCAAATTCTAATTTTTAAGTTTCAGGACAGGAGGCGAGAACTAAGTAATTCTGACAAAGAAAAATAACATTTCCCGCCTTCAGCATAACCTTAATATCCTCTTCAATTTTGTTTTTTCTAGTTATCGTAGACCCTAGATATCTAAAATTCTGTACGTGTTCAAACACATTCACTTCTATATCGATATCATCGAAATTGTCGCTGTTTTTGCAGATACACATATATTTTGTCTTATACGTGTTTATTTCTAGGCCTCAACCAGCTTCCATCAACGTTGTAGTATTTAGTTTTATTGTTTCCATGTCATCGCTTAACAGTACCAAATCATCAGCATACCCAAGCACGGATATTGTCCCACCCAGGTTCAAACCTTTTTCGATATGTATCACCTCTCTAATGGCAAATTAAATAGCACAGGTGAAAGTAATCAGCTTGTTTTAACCCCATACGAACATTAATAGGTAACGAAATATTAATAGGTACTACTATTATTAGTAATCAGAATATATTATTTGGTAGAGATTAAATACATATCAATCCATAGTAAAAATAAAAGAACGAAAGAATAAATATTGTATTCTTGACGAAAAGTTAATGAGATTTTTTATTGCCTGAAAAGATCAGAGAATCTTTTTTTTTTTGGAGGTGCACCTTAATCGGTGGGCAACATTACACTATGAATAAGTCGCTCATATTTTCAGTTGATTTATTTATTTTGTACTTGTATTTAATACGCACCAATATATCCAGTGGTTTATATCTGCCTATCACTTACCACAAAGATTATTCTCACAAAGTGGAAGGGAATCATTCGAAGAGGATTGTAATAAATTATGGAGCATTTAAAAGGCACTCCCGACAGAAAAGGCATAAACATGACAATGATTCATCAAACACTACTGCCTTATAGGAATAGTTTTGTATTTTGATATCTTAAAATTATGACCATTATTTAACTAATTTATAAAAACCAAGGCATTTTTTTCAGTATTTTCAAGACCATTCAAATCACAAAAACATAGATAATAAATGGATGATGTTTAACAAAACAGAACTGTCAACGTTTCACCAATTAAGGAATCATCGGGACAGAAAAGAACAGCTAATCGATTGGCTGTGACGTTAACACGTTTGATTTATTTGCCTGCATTTTGGAGACATAAGGCTGTGTGGTTTTGGAATTTTTCCAAATTATAACCTAACATTTATGTTTTGTATCTTGATTAGTTTGTTACTAATTTATTATATATTAATACATTTATAGATAAATAATTCCTATAAATCGATTGCCTTTCTAGTTAACCGGTTGTAGAATATATCATTTATATTAACATTTATGAGTTATATCATTTATTGATTGACAATGTAGGTTGTCTTATTGAGTTTCTTTGCGTCTAGTCTTCTATTATCTAAGGTTATGTGTAGGGTTCTATTATGTAGGGTGTGTCCAAAAGAAAAATCCATGGCCCAGGTTGCGACATCAAAATTTTTGAGGAGGGTACATTTTTTTATGAGGTTATAGGTTTTTGGAGAGAACCATACCTTTCCAAGGTTTCAGTTGAGAAGAATTTTCAAATTAATAAAAAGAAGAAAAAACTTGACAACAATTTTTTATAATTTTATTTAATTTTCACCGTTCTTAAGAATAGGAGGATGGTGTCATAACTGGAGAATAAAAATCAATTCCAATAAATCCCATCAAATTACCTTCACCCTTCGTCGTAAACCCACAACTTCTTGCCCTACAATATCCTTCAATGATATTCCACTTGTTCCTGTTGAACAAATCCGCTACCTAGAACTTCACCTGGATAAACGTCTTAATTGGAATCCGCATACTAGACTCAAGAAGAAACTGCTCGAAGTTTCCGAAAGCTCTAACACTTACTAGACAAACGCTCTAAACTTTCAATTAATTACTAAAGACTCAACTACTTAACCATAATAAGACCTATATGAATATATGGAGTTGAGCATTAGGGTTCTACCAAACCATCCAATTTCTATCGTATCCAATCCTTAGAATCCAAAATCCTTAATGTCCCATATCTTGTCACAAATAAAACCATTCATAAAGACCTTAATGTTCCATATGTAGCCGATTTTGCCGGAACCAGATACCTATCCTTTCACGATAAACTCCAATCCCATCCAAATCCACTTGTTTCCAGCTTTGCTTCTTTCTCGACTCCTAATAATCCCCCTAGGCGTCTGAAAAGAAGATGGCCTCGTGGTCTTCTCACCTAGAATTAAATGGGGAGTGCTACCACTGGGCAGTATCTCTTCAAGTCTGTTCATGTCATTATTTCCAATGTGTGCATTTTTACTAGTTGTATTGTTTATACAGTTGTAAATTTCATTAAATAAATGAAATAAAAAACAATAGGAAAGCAATAATGTTTATTTTCGAGGGACTATCGCCCTTGGGAGGTGGGGGCTAGTCACCCAATCTGAATGCAAAATCGAAAGCACATTTTCCACAACTTTGACCACTTATAACTGGCATTCAAATTTGTTACCTATTCGTCAGCCGATTATCTTTAATTCTCATATTTAAAACAATTTAATAAACTCAAAAATACGATAAACGACAAGTAGGAACAGGTTTATTAAATATTAATATTTCTTCATTCAATAGGTTACGATAAAATATATCATTTATAATACCATAACATTTACATAATAAAATAACATTTACACACACAATTAGCTATAAGTATTTAATATGAAAATGGTTAGAATTAAAAATAAAATAAAATAGTCTAGTATATAATCACGTGATAATAAAGTAAAATAGTATATTATCACGTGGGATATAATACATTAGAATAAGACCTAAAAGAAACACTTCAACAGAAAAGTTCATGAAATCTGTATCCCGAACGTAGAGGACACCATGACACATTTTATATTTATTCAAGGGAGCCAATTATCCATAACTTTGAAGAAATTAAAATTTGTTTTTTAGTATCCAAATCATTTATAATCATTAAAAAATCACCATGATGCCCTTTACGAAAATGAGTTTACAGTATAGACTACTTAAGGGATTGATTTTTTTTTAAATACTAACATGAATGTATTAGTACTAAATAAATTTTTTATACTTACAGTTATAATAGTAACTAATGGAACAATAAAATAACTATATATTTTTCAGGTATACGGTATATCTTCGCAATCTTTTGTGTTCTGCACACCACACATTCAACTTTAGACGATTTGGATGGTAAGATAAATATCCAGCAATTGTAAAAAATATATATTAAAAAAAAAACGTAGTTGTTGAGGAACAGTAATATTCTTCATTATCCGAGAGACAAATGACTTTTTAAAAAAATTAAGAAAAAAAAAAGACATAAATAATAAATATATCGTATATATTATTTCTAAAAGGTGAATTTTTGTCGGCACGCCATGACTTCGTCAATTTTTCATCAAATCCAATTATTGACCACTCATTTTGAAGATATTATTCTCCTTCACATGAAAAAAATAGTCCTATCTCCCCGAAATTTCTGGAAAAAAAGTTATGAAGGAAAAGAAACTTTATTTGCGAATAACTAAAAAAGTATGCATTGCATTGATCGTTCCCATGATAATTAGAAATATTACTAAATTACCTCCAAAACAAAAAAAAAAAAAAAATCGGTCAATTATTAATAAAGATACAGTCCATTATTTTTGGTATACTTAATAATGTCATCCTGTTAAAAGATATTGGATTTAGGAGTAGAATAGTCTACTACACTTTTTGTCCTGGCTGATATGTTAACTTTATTATTTCTTAAAGACATTTGGTTGTTCTTACATATTATTTTTTTTAATAATTTAGAAAATCCTATGATCGGGACACTATTTCGTCTTCATTACTTTTATTATCTTCCCAGTCGGCGTTTAAAAATAGGTCTTAGCAAAACAATTAGTAGAAATATTTTTGTATATTATGTTTAATGGTATATTGTAATCGACCAAGGAAAAAAATATTAATTCCTTCCTTACATAATAAATAGGAACTATTTATTTCCATATTGTTTGGCTATTTCTTCACTAAACAAAATTTTCTGCGAATTATTCGCACGGGCCATCTAGTAATCTATTAATATGAAAATTGAATAATAAAAATGCGTTTAAAATCTGCAAGAAGATAGCGTTGATAAATAGGTCATGGGTAAATGGAATTGAGGAAACACGAGCTGATAGTCATTATTGCATAAAATCGATTTACGCGAATGAAATCTTAAACAAAGGCATTCTATTAAGAATAAGTATGCACAAACTAATATCTTATCGGCCATGCACACGTTTAATTGTCTCGAAATATCGTCAGCACTAACAGCGTCACGGAAAACGTAAAAAGAGATATAATTTACGTCCGATGATTCTACCACTGTTAAAAAAAAAAATAATAAACTGAAAACATCTTAGATAAGTAAATAGTTAGACAAAAAAAAAAAGCATGAAATGATCAGAACCAAATTAAAAGTTATATTTTATTTTCGCTCCTGTTATATATAATACATATTTTTTTAACATATATATTGGGATCCTACTCATCAAACTTCATTTTTCAATAGGTAAAATTGAAGAATTAGATGAAGAGTAACAACTTTTCTAGAACTTGAAAAAATTATTTAAAAAGCACATAGAGTAAATAAACCCGTAGGTGACATGCTTAAAGACATTTCTTTGAACTTTTTACCGTAACACTTAAATATTCACATTAATGTATTTTTGTTGGATTCGTCGTATAGAAATATATCTCATCCTGCTAATCATTTAAACGCCTCCGAAACATTTAAAATCCATGAAACATTCACCTAGGCGGACCTATGGGGGGGGGGGGGAGAGATGGGGGATTTCGGTTTTTTTTTTTCCAAGTAACTATATATATATATATATATATATATATATATATATATATATATATATAAGTTTTTTTTCATATATATATATATATATATATATATGAAAAAAAAACTTTTGGCCTGAAGGCTCCCCCAAAATTAAATCCTGGATCCGCTAGTGCATTCACCTAAATATCAAAAAACTGTTAATTTATAAAATAATTTTGTTGCACCCGTAGCTGACATTGCCCTGGGATGTTTGTTCCTATAGCTGACAGGGCTGAACAAGGACGTAATCATGCGGAATAAAGTTTTGAAATTTTATATTCTTCATTTTATAATAGATATAAACAAAAATTACCTATAATTTATAGGTAGAGGATGTAGAGGATGGTCCCATTTTCATTCCTATCCCATAAAGAGCGGTTATATTAAGTAAATATCTTTGAATTTATGCAACTATAGGCAGAGATGACCGGAAGGGGGTTTCATGGCGATGGTTGCGCCATCAAAATTGTTAGAGGGGGCATATTTTGACGGCTATTTGAATATTTGGTAGTGGCAAATTTCGACGGAGTTGTGAATTTTCGGACTAAGGAACAAGAGGAAAACATGGAACATCCCGCAGCAAATGTACTAGTATATGATCTACGATTTTTCTAATTCTACTTTAGTTTGCCCTATTTTTAAGAAAAGCGGAACAGTAAAATATCTTGGGAGGGGGGGGGAGGTAGGTTCTTGCGCCATTGACCTAGGTGGGGAAGGGGCACATCTGAGTATAAGTCTCTCAGCTAACGCCAAAGGACCTCATTTTACGACTCCAGTAGCTGACATCCACTAAATTTCCAATTTCTTTATCAAAATGAGTAATAAAAATGATCTAAAACATAAAAAAAATAAATAAAAAAAACCTTTCCGTTAATATGAAAAAGTTAATGAGAAACAGACAAAACTAAAATACAAAGTCTTTACAGATAGATGGTTGTTCCTCAGATACTAAGGGACCTTTTATTTTATTATTCCCATTTTTCCAAAGGGATGCCAAGTATTGAAACCCTGTCAGCTGCTACTGGTGCTTTTATTCTACTTCTACTAAACATATCCATAGCACCGAGCACAGGCGGATCTACGGGAGGAGGTGGGCTTTCGGGCTGAAGCTCCCCTCCCCCCCCCCAAAAAAAAGTTAAAATATAACCATGTTTTACAGAAAAAAATATTAAAAACTGTCTCTTTAAGTATTCTTGTTCCTGTAATTACATTTAATACGACTTCAGGAACCACTTAAACACCATTTCATATAGGCAGTTAATTTCTTTCTTTTTTTTTCAAATTAATTATCGTTATATGTATATGAAAAAAAAATCTTTCGGGCTGAAGCCCCCCCCCAAAATTAAATCCTGGATCCGCTAGTCGACGTAATTTTGCCAAATGTTTATTGCTATTTTTCGAGTTCTCGCTTATGTCAGGAAAACTATCCATCGCATCGACAAAAATGTTCTGTACAAAATTAAAGCTGATAAAATTTTCAATATGACTGATTATGTATCTTTTATCGCTACTTCGCTTAGTTTCCGTGATATTAGTCATCAACTATTGCTAATTTTGAAAAAAAAAAAAATATTTTGCCTCATGTTTAATGATTTATTTCGTTTTTTCGCTTATTTAGGAAACCTATCCATCGCATCCACAAAGACGTTGTATACAAAATTAAAGCTAATAAAATTTGCAACATGGTTGATTATATACCTTTTTTCGCTAACTCGATTAGTTTCAGAGACATCCGTCCTCAACTATCGCTGATTTGGAAGAAAACAGAATCTTTACTTTACTGTATTTGACGAACTAACTCTTGATTGCTTCATTCTACGATTAAATCATGAGGAATAAAGCTTTTAATAATTCAATTTCCTTCATGAATATATATTATTCCACTACTTTATCTCCAACGGTTAAAAAATTAGATCAATTATAATATATATGTCAATTCCAAGAATTTGGAGAAAAAAATAACTTTTATAATATTCGTTGTTATAAATATATGTATATGCGAATATCTGAATAGATATTTAGATGTATAGAGATTTAGAGAAATATAATAACGTGTACCATAAAAATTAAAAAAAAATGACAAAAATAAAGTGCAGAGGACTAATGAAGGAAGTGTTAAGAGGGGTTAGAAGAAAGAAAAAAAAATCTTTGAAGAAACTTTGCTCCTTCCTAGAGAAGAGGAGAAAGTCAATCTATAATATTTTTCATGTTCTTCAATTTTATATTAGCATTTTAGGTAACGTGTTTTAAAATGAGTATTACCATCAGATAATATTGATTCATGTCCATCGACTGAATTAAGGTCAAAATAACCAAAAAGTATAAAGAAATAAGAAAGAAGGGAAGGAGCTTTCGGGCTGAAGCACCCAAAATGGTAAAATATAACCATGTTTTATAGAAAAAAAATATTAAAAACTATCACTTAAAGTATTATTGTTCGTGTAATTACATTTAATATGACTTCAAGAATCACTTAAAACCATGACATATAGATAATTAGTTTTTTCTTTTTTTTTCCAAATTAATTAACGTTATATGCATATATGAGAAAAAAAACTTTCGGGCTGAAGTTCCCCCCAAATTAAATCCTAGATCCTTGTGATAAAAGTCAAACTAACAATATGAAAGCCCTGTAGAGAGGGATATCGGGCATCTGTAAAGGAATAGGATCAGCTAAGGTCTCTCGACTGTATCCGAATAGTTTCCAACCCTTATTTCTCCTTTAGATAACAATCAATTTTCTTCATTCATTTTATTTAATCATTTTCTATATAATTTTATAATGTTAAAAGGTTAATTATATCAAATAAAAAAAATTAAAGGTACTTGAGAGCAAATGTTAAAAATTAGGCATTTAAACCCTTTTAGAGAACATTAATGAGAATAAGACCTACATTATGTTAAAAACTGCTTAATTTTAAACTGATAAGAAGAATTTAATCAAAATCGTTATAGCCGTTCCTGAGAAAATTTGAAATATGTGTAAAATCTATTATGTTAAGGGGCAACTATTACACTTCGTTTTCGATTATTATAACGAAAATACAATAAAAGCTGAATTAATGATTTAAGCTGAAAATATTACTATTTATATTCGTAAAGCAAAATAAAAAAAAAACTATGCTCAAATCATACATTATCTTTCAACAACAGTGATTAATATAGTCTTGTAATGTGAAACTAATAGAAAAATACCTAAGTGAGGAATATCCCAGTTGCACAGTGTAAAGTGTGAGACAATTCTGCTAATACATGATCGTATATAATCATATGATCAAATACAAACAATAAAGTACAAGTGGAATGACACTTGAGAAAATGACAAACAATGATTTATTTAAGTGAAAACACGGCTAAATATCAAATGTCATTTAACCACTAAATATTTCCCAATAAAAAGTTCTAAACTAATACAAACTACAAAATAGTTATTGCTTTGCTAATTAGATATTATCTTAGTTCAGAAGTACACCTACGGGAGAGGGGAGGGCAAGGCACTTTCTGCCCACAACCAATATTTTAAGAAGGTGGTCACAATTTCGCAGGCTTTCCAATATTTATTACTTATTTACTTAAATAATTAATATAAAAAAAGTTTAATCAACTACACAAGTAATGATTGCAGTACATCACAGGTAATAAACTGGGATACTTTGTGTTATTGTTTAAATTTTGGCTCCCCTAAAATTTCTGAAGTACCGGCGCTAATGCTATGTCTACATCATTATCTTTGAATATAAATGAAAATTTAAATAAAAGAATCATTTAGGGTGTGGTAAAAAATTTACGTACTTACTTCTAGATCTTAGCCTAGCCATCTAATTGACTTTTCCTATTTACTTAATTGATTTTAGTTTGAACATTTTATTCATTCATATAGAGTATTTCTTATTCATTATTTTTAGTCTCAAATTAGTTGGGAGTAGGGCGAAATGATAGTCTCGCTCACTCTCTTTTATTATTGTGGGAGACGTGAGATTGGTAAGAGTTGGGAGGAGAGGTGAGGGCCCCATCTCATTAATTTCCTTATCAGTAATTAGAATAAACCTCAAACTATTTTTTTATATTTAATCAAATAGATGTAAATTTTAAAAATAATTAAGAATTTTTTGTTAAATTAAACTTTTAAATCAACTGAAGTTGGTGCAACTATGGAATAAATGCTGGGAGCAACATTTTATAAAAAAATTATAAGACTATTTTTTTCAACAAGATAATAGTGGAAGTAATAACAAAGATTCAAGACAGCTCTATAATTGGGGTATTTAAAAAAAAAAAAGATTTGAGCAGGTGCATAACTGAAGAGAAAGAGGAAAATATGATGAAAGAGCTCTATTATTTGAAATCGGAGGATGTAATAGTTCCAAATGCTGATTTTTACTTTATAATTCTCTTTTGTAAATTAAGTTTTTGTAAATAATGATTGGCTGTGGTATACTACGATAATATTTATATATTTTTTTTTTCGGTTGGCACTACAGACCATGAAGATCTTTGGCCGCGATATGTGGTCTCCTTACAAATATATGTTGCTTGTGGGAGCTCAGATAGCCTGGATGGGGTAACCCAACTTCACGTTGCTATGGACCATGGTCTCCATGGTGCAGCGGCAGGCCACGTGTAGCTCCATAGCCAATCTCTTTGGGACCAATCTGGCAGTGTCCTTCCCAACGACTCACTCGTGTTCAAGGACAGTGATAAATCGGTCTAGATCCATGGATTATGACTGCTCGGAGTCAGCAGGCGCACGAGGACCTATATTTCTTTCCCCGAAACCGTGTGTCCATGGACCGAATCTCAGGGAGCTACTAACATCCTGGTAGACCACATCCCAATTCCCTATTAAGTACACGGGGTAGGGTCATCAGTCCTACACTGGTAGGTATGAATTGCCTCCAGTAGGCTGACGGACCTCATATACCCGGGGAGGGGGAGAGGAGTAGAGACTCGGGCAGCATGGCTCTTCCTGGTGGACGGTCACCCATCCAAGTACTAATGAAGGGAATAATGAGCAAGGATAGTATTTTAGAAGGAAAGTAACAAATTACTTCCATCTACAAGAAATTAAAGGAACAGTTGGTGGGGGGGAGGAGGAGGGGTGCGGTCAACAATCACAAACTATTATGGTGTAATATTTATTTATAGTCTAGGTTTCGACCTACGTCGTAAGCTAATATTTATAGCTAACACTATAAATAAATATTACAACATAACAGTTTGTAATTACTGGCCGCACCCCCCGACCAGTCATTCCTTCAATTAGAAATATGGTCAATCATTATTAGAAATTACTTTGATTACACTGTCACGGTCAAACACCATTCATGCTTACTTAATATAAATTGTGTAACGTATGACCCTCATTACACACCAAACATGGACTAATAGTATCACCAATGAAAAGGAATAGACACAACATTCATTTCTAAAAATAATCAGTTCAAATAACTATTTTTATTTATGTAAAGGTCAAAGACTCTTCAGAACACATATTTCCAGACTCTTTGCAAGTTGTGGCCTAGTTGTATACAAGTGATAACAGGATAACAGTAAAAAGAATAAAGTAATAAATATAATTAAACATTATATTAATAACATTAACATTATTTAATAAACTAATAAAACTAAAATTTACAAACAAAGTATCTAAAACAATTTTGAAAAAAGAATAGTTTACAAATTAACATTTATTCAAAGAAAACTTATTGTTGAACAAAAAATAAAATAAATGACAAAGGAATAACAAAAAGTAATAACTTTTATATGTTAAAAAATACTTTAATTTTGATTTTTATTAAATAAAAGTCTTATAACAAAACCATATTATTATTACTTATTTCAAAGGTAATCTATTAACCTCATGTTTTTTATTAAATAGATTTCGAACATGGCTAAAAACCTTTTAAACAGTCTTTACATTTACAATAATCTATTCCATTACAACAATTAAATATATCATGAAAAACATCTTTTTTTACTAAGCCACATAATAAGAACTATGAAGGAGGAGTTATGACTCAAATAATATATCATTTTAGAAATAAAGAAACTCATTACAATTACATATAATTACTACACATTGATATAAATCAGGAATTAAAACAATTATAGATTTTTTTTTTAATGTTCTGTTTTAATAATGCCCGTGAAACTTTATAGGAAAATTTTTTTGAAAATAAAAGTGATAAAAGTTCTAGATACATAGTAAAATTTAATTTTTATTTACTTGCGCTCTTTAAAAAGGTCATGTAACATGAGAAATAAACAATAACTGGGCTTAGATTTGAGTTATTGAATTATCTTAAATGAATTAATTGATGCTACCGTGTAGTTTGAGTTGCTAAAAATAAAAGTAAATTTTTTTAGATTGACTTGAAGGCGAAAACAACAGAACTTTTAAATAAAATGTTTTTAAAAATAGGTTTTGTAAAATGTTTACTTGAAAATTTTGCAAGGGAAGAATTTTTGGTTCCGGAATAACAGAAAAAATTTAAAACAAAGATTATAGCAATACCTAAACTGACAAAAATTAAAGTTAAAATTTCACTTAAAGCCCTGATGTTAACAAAAAACCCTAGGGAAAAAAGTTATAAAATATCTCCAATTAAAGGTAATGTAATTAGAGATGGAATTTGACATTTTAAAAAAATATTTGTTGTTCGTTTAATGAAACAGTTAACGAACCCTAACCATACCTTAGAGAGGGTTCCTATTACTAATTATTTCATTGTGAATTTATTACTAATATAAATAAAACTTAACATGAATACATACCTCATGTTTTCAGATCTTCTAAAGTACCAATAATTATGTACGATATTAAATCCAGAAATTTACTTAATCAAATTAATTGTAATTTATAAACAGGTAAAGATCATAATTTCAAAGATAATGCTATATCCGAAATAAATATACAGTAAAATAATTCATTTTATTTCAATTTTTAACACCCCCTCGAATTAAAATTTTTGTTTCACCAACAAAATTATTAATGTAATATTCTTTAAAAATAAGACATCAACCACCGACAAAACACTCACCAATTCAAATTATTTGACAACATTAACAGCTGCTAGGAGAAGATTATAGGCACTGAGATAGACTTGGCACAGAATAGGGTCAACTTGATAACTGAATAACACTATTCTTAAAAGACCTTGAACTCTTACTAACTCTTGCGTTTATATCTACGTGAAGCATATTTGATTCAATCCAAAAACAGATAAATATTTGTTGATACATCAATAATTACGTCATAAAAATACTAACAATGCTATTCGTTCAGAATAATAGATAACACCGATGACAGTTTAGAAGCAATAAGAAACACAATGCTTACTTATGAGACTGATGAATCAGTAGGTACCAAAAAAAAAGATCAATCGAGTAAAAATCAATGTTAAAATCAAATAATTATTAGTAATGTGCACATATATGTTTAAAAAAATAAAATTAAAATTTTATATATATATATATATATATATGACCGATAAATTATTTAACCCAAAAGAGACATGTTCAATAACTAACAGAAAAATTATTTGTGTTTTTCATTTTATCATTTATTTATTTATTTATTAACAATTTGATTTATTTATTTTATGGAATTTGACATTTTAAAAAAATATTTGTTGTTCGTTTAATGAAACAGTCAACGAACTCTAACGATACCTTAGAGAGGGTTCCTATTATTAATTATTTCAGATTAATTAATCTCTAATTACACAGGTATTGCTATTAGAGTATTAGCATATTGTTAGTTTCTACTATATAGGAAAGAGAATGAAATATTTTTGTGTCAAGAATGCTGTCGCTCTATGATGAATAAAATCAGTTTAAATCCTACAATCGCATACAAATATTTTTCAAGATAGAATTTTAATTTTAATTAGATTTGATCAGACTTTGAACTAAGATTTTGCTGACACTACATAAGTCCATTTAGCCGAAAAAAAAATTAGGACCCGATACCTCGGAAGACAAATTAAGCATATCACTCTTATCTCTTAAGGTGTAAGGTCAAAAACTAGGCACTTAAACCGTCTTGATTTATTTACTATCTGATTTTTAAAACTAAAGTTTACATCCAGCATAAATATATAACACAAATTATTTTTTAACAGAGTTAAGAAGTACAGATAATCACATAATCAAACCAAATCCAACATCAATTATAGTGAGGACTGACTCCATTCTTTATGCTCCAGTTGGCCACGATATTTCTATTAACTTTGAGGTAACAAATAATCAGTATAAAAATATATTTTATCAATTTGAAGGATACACGGATGACAACTTTAATCTTGCATATGTCACACCACCAAGGTATATTTACAAATATTTCTTATTTGTTATATAAATAAGAAAATAATATAAATTTGATACACATTTACATTTATTTTTTAGTGCAAGTGTGCAGTCATATACAAAATGTCTTGTAAATGTCAAGATATTATCAAGTAACTCTTTGAATGAGGAAAAAAGAGGTTTACTTACTTTCAAAGCAAAATGGGTATCATTATTTGAAGAAGAAGTCACACAAGATGTTTATTATTATATTGGGAGTCAGGTATTAACTATATTCTCTCAGAAAGAGATGCAAAATAACAAATTTATGTTTAAAAAATTAAATCTGATATTTCAAGGCAAAAATTTCAAAGTTAATACAGTAATGTCTTGATCTCCGAGGTAAACTGCATTAATATTTAATAAACTTTTCTAATGAATTTGAATGTTCAGTTATGGTTAAGCAAAGTACGTTCAGTATATGGGCAAGCAAAGTATTTAAACCAAATTTAATACTTAATATAAAACGTACAATAAAATTAATTAGCTGAATGCATGAATGCAACTTCAATAAAAAAAACTTGCAACCAATGCAACTAATGTAACTAAACCAAATGCAATTAATCTCCAAGGTTTAGTTATTGAAACAATAACTAGACCTTCGAACAACAATGTTCCAAAATTTTACTTAAGAATAAACAAATAATAAAAAACTAATTTTCGATTGATTTGAATAAATAAGATATATATTCTTAAATATAGAAATTATTCATTATTTTTTTTAAAATCATAATTAAAAGTTTTTTAATATTTCTATACTTAAACCAAACAGTTTGTAAATACAGTTCAATTGTGGATTTAAAAAAATAAAATTAACAAGACAAAATACACAAGATACTCAAAATGCACTTAAGTTTCATATGATCCAGTGAAGCAATACATTATTCATTTTTACTATATATAAAAAAAAAATACCTTTGAAAGGCTATCTAACCCAGAAAAAATAGGCAAAAAAATATGGCTGATTTCAAGAATATTCATCATTGGTTGTAAATGTGGGGATTAGTTCCTAATCGAACGCAGAACAAACCATGAAAAGTCCCCTTAAACCCCAGGCCTCCTTCCAACCATAATGGAGGGTCACTGATGGACACCTACTAGTGTAAAAGATTCCTAAAGACAGAATGGTAGAAACCACGCAAACAAGCAGGAACTGGAGTCTATACAAAGGAATCCATTTTCTTGGTCCTTGAGTAATTAGTTGAACAAGACAATAAAGATGCTTTCTTTGTTGACTTGCAGATGACACTTATGTCCCTCCAAAATAGATATTACAAGAAATCAAATAACCTCAAGTGCAATCTTTATTTGGAACAATTAAAAGAAATAGCTTTTCAGTAGATATCAGGCCATTACTGACTATATGAACAATAAGGCTGATAAACTGGCTAGGAAACGATCTGATATGAAACAACCAAATATAGTTCTTGGGATGGATAGAAAGAAAGTGACGGAGTGGGCTGGTTGAAGAAAGTGACAGGATCCCAAAAGATCTCTTAAGAGGACAATCTACTTGTTTTAGGATGCTTAACAGATAGCACAACTTATCCTCTTTGGCATTAGATGTTATAACCAGAGAGCAGCTCAAAGTATGCCCTGCTAACCAGAACATAAGATGTGAATTTATGTCAGATCTTGACAACCCCCCTGCTAAGAGAGCAAAATTATATTGGACCGCAAGGTTACTCAAGTGTAAGAAAACATACATATTCTTAGCAAATTAAGATTGGTTTATTAGCAGTAATTAAGATATCTAACGAATATTAAGTAAAATTAATTTAGTATTGCTCTAAGAAGATAATTATTCTTTTACTAAAGAAACCAGGAATGGTATTGTAGATAATAGATAAGCAAGGCTCAATACAGATTCATTGTTTTAGAAACAAAATATTCATTGTTGTTACTAAATAATTACGAATTACAGAGTAAACATCAAAACAAAACTGAACTGTACACTTGGAATATATAAACAGAAAATACAACCTTGTAGATGATTCAATTGTCACTTTTTATCTAAGCCTAAACTTTTCAAAGTATTATCTTAATAAAGGTGAATATTTGAGACTCTACTCTTAACTGTTTTTAATACAATTTATTTTTTAACTAATTCTGGCATTATCAGGTCGAATATAAAGAAGATCAAAAAATCTTATTAATTTATAATCATTGTATATGCCCTTTTATTAATAACTTTGATTAAATTTTTGTCACTTTATTGTTACTTAGTATATATATTTAAATAATGAACCATTATCTACTAAAAATAATTCTATGAATAGCTTATCTGAATCTAGACTCAAAAATAGCAAAACGGTGACAAAATTAACCTCTGGAGCCTCCTGTAACCTCAAAAACTATATAAAACCTTATGTAAACTCAAACATATGAATTGTTTCATTATTATTCTTTTAATAAATAAAACATATAATTTGTAGTGACATCAAAGAAGAAATTTACTCTAACAATGAAAAATAATATTAGTATAAATAATAAAATTTGTATAATTATAAAATGTTTAACTATTTAACTATACCGTGCTTACTTCTCCAAATGGTCTTTTAAAAGTACTAATTGCAGTGATTTTGCTCCCAACCCCAAATACTACATACATTCAAAATGATAAAAGTTTGTCAATAAAAATCTTTGATTTCAGTTTAAATATTTTCTCATTTATTAAACAAATCTTTTTATTTGTTTTTAAAAATTAGAAACCAGACTCATCAAAGCCAACAATAACTTATACAATCAGTGGAGATTGCAGTGGATATTTACAGCCAAAACTTTGCCACGACAAAATATGGAAAGCTGATATTTCAATACAAGATATCGATTCAGGTTGTATTAAATGAAACTTTTTTTTAAATTAGTAAATATACAATGCATTGATGGTAGAACAAGAAGATCTGCATGAAAGTCAAGAATAACATAAAATAGTGGGAACCACTTATCAAATGCCTATCTTTTGACCAACATTTTAGGTCTTAATCGGTGATGAATGAGGAGAATTATAGGTATAGACTGAATGTGCAGCCCTGATGAAAACCTACAATGTGAGTCGATGTGTCAGAAATCAATATATAGTTCCCACTATTTTACATGTTATTTTTGACCCCCAAAAGAAAATATCTCCTTAATTAGTAAACCTAAGTTTCAACTACGGACCTAAGGTCCCAAACATTTTGGTAGCCCATGTTCTTTTCATAGAGCAACATATTTATTTTCCTTTTTAGGTTTACTCAAAATTAATTCAGAACCATTCAGCATAATTTTAAAAAAGAGATTCATTGTTGGTACAAAAGAAGCAGTTTCAGGATATTATTTAGCTAACTGCTGTCAAACTAAAGTTGACATTACAGCAACCGATATATCAGGGAATGAAAATACAATCACTATTGATATAGAGAGAAGTATATAGTTTTATCTTATATATACATTTAAAATATAAATGTACTAAATAAAAAATATGTTTTCTTTTTATAGATTGGTTAAGCACAGGAGAAATAGCTTCAATCACTTTGGGAGCCATATTATTAGTGATCCTCATCATAGCTGTTATTGTTTTTATTATTTACTGTTGCAGAAAAAAAAGACAAACTTTAAGTATATACCCAGAAAGCATCCGGTCTTAGGAATTTTCAATATTACACACATATGTTTACAAATAATGTAGGGATATACAAGAATCTATAACTTAGTAATCTTCTTATAATTAAAAAGATTTTAAATTATAAACATTGTAAATATACTTAGTTCATTCAAAATAAATAATATAGTGAATGCACCTATTTATATATTTATACTTATATATGATATATCATGTTTTATAATACTTGATTTGATATGTATTTATTTTTAAATAATATATGTGTATAAGTGTTGACTGTAACATGTACCAAAATTAAATTATATTAATCAAGAATCTATAATAATATATATTACTATAATTATAATTATATAATATCAAAACTAGGGGCTCCAGTGGTCGAGCGAGTTAAGGGGCCTACAAAAATTTTATATAAAGTGTTCAAATCCAGTTTGTGGGAATTAATAACACAAACAAACCATAAAAAAAAAAAATGATAAATTAAAATTAATAAGTGCAGGTGTACCTACTCGACTATTTACACCACTACGGCAAGGATTTGATTCTCGCCTGTAGACGGTAACGTCCTCACCCCGAGATTCATAGGGAGGTGAGCGACTACTGTGTCTTACACCCTCATTAGGTATAGGGCTGATAATTCCATATCCCATAAAAAAAACTGGGTGGAAGATTGAAGCAAAAGATTAGCAATCATTCTTCAGGAAAGTTCCTAATGAAGAGGGAGTGAAATGTGATCATGTCCGTTTAGTAAACCACGGGCTCTCTGTATATCTCGAAGAAGAGAGAACCAAACAATCACTACTATCACCTATAATAGCCGCAAACTGCTGAATAAGACTCATGACTTAAAAGTCAAAATCAAAAAGCAAAGAAAAAAAAAATAAAGAAAACCTTCAATATTCATTGTTTAAAAATTCATAAAATCAGGAAATTAGATGCATAGTACATATCAATAACCAAATACGGATCAGAAATGGAAATAGATTCTGAGACTCGTGTATGAGGCTATTTGTAACCATACTAACCACATCCTAATTGACAAGATAAAATAATAGATTTTTAAGTTAAGATAATTGTAAACTATTTTTGGACAAGGACTGACTGCCAATTATAAGATAAAAAATTACTCAATAACTTTTTTGGTTAAATTGTTGACAATAAAAATCACTATAACACTTTTTACAAATCTTTGATATTTTTTAGCTGAGACCATAGTTTATAGTTAATAGTTTCTTAGCCACCAGAGGTATCTGAATAAAATTGTAAAAAGTCTTAGTAGTAGTTTACTATTAATAATAATAATGGAAACTGGTCCTAGAAAAGTTTTGAAACAAACACCTTAAAAATTATGTCTTTATTAAAGGAAGTATTGAAAACTGTCTATTATCTCCTTCTCCACACATTAATTTATTTTAATTTAGTTTAGATGCATGCATCCTGCCTCTTGCATCTTCAGTGTGAAAGGGGCCTAAAAGTGCTCTCTCAGTAAGAGCTCACCTGTCAGTCAGCCATTAAAAATACTTAAATCTATAAGTACTTGGCAGTAAATAACATATTGGCTAAAAACAATGCTTTTTGTTTTTATGACCTGAATGAATAGAAGGTGAGAGATTAGGCTTAAAATGAGCATAACATAATTCATGTTGGTTTCAGATTAAATAAGATCAGTAATACTATCATACTAAATAATGTTGTAATATTGTCCTGTGTTTAGCCAATCATTATCATAATATTTTCATGAACATTTAATAAAAACCTGAGCGGAACAGTATTGAAATAATAAGAAAATAGTATATTAAACAATAAGAAAATAGTATATTAAAATCCATTACAAAGCCAACACCAATAGCTCTTCAAGGCTAAAACTTTAGTATTTATTGGCGATCATGCAAATTAGTGATTAGCAGCGAAGCATAGTTAAACAAAGCAGACCCATAAATATATATATTTTTTTTTAATTCAGTTTTACCAGCAATTAAATTAGCATATTAAAAATAATATAAACTCCACAGTGAACAAACAAGAACACAAATTTAATTAATTTTAATATTTATCAAATCTTTAAAAAAAAACTCAACATCAAAATTTGATTTATACTCATCACAAGCAAAGAAATTTAATAATAAAACCACACAAACCTTGGTAAGTCAAAGAATCTAGATAAAATTACAAGGGAAAATGACATGAAATCTTTCCAGATGTTATATAGAAATATTGGAAAAATTTTGAATACCGAGTAATTCACTTTAAGCAACATTTAAAATTAGTCCTGCATAGGCAATACCAAAAAAATTTAGGAAAGAGGAGATAAATATTTTAAGAACTCCATTTAGTAGAGATGAAAAGAAATCTGACAGATATTCATATTAGCCCATTGAAAAATTTAAGTAACTAATTTTTGTACATTTTATAATATATAACGAAAAGACTATAACAATACGCAAAATATTAAATATGACTAAACCAAGTTTGTAAATACATAAATATTGTAACTAAAAAACTAACAAGTAGGTAAACACTAAACTCTAAGGCAGTAATATCTTCTAAATATATCACTTTAAATTGGAGGCAAAGAATGAATAGCAATCATTATTTTAAAAAAAAACGAAAATAAACTACAAAACTTAGATTTATACTATTAGAGCTAAAGTAACCTTAAAACAGGAAGGTTACATAGAAAAATATGGGCTACTTACAATCAACAGTACCTTCGGTTTTTGGGGGTGATGCTGGTACTAAAAAAGAAACCCCACTTAACTCTTCCAGGAGCAAACTTTGAGAAAGTAAGGGATTTTTAATGACTTTAACATCATCGTGTTTCCTCCCATCAGCCATAACACTACAACTGTCACTGTCACTTCATGAAAAAGACGTGGATCCAAAACAAATTTAGGCCAGGAGTGGGGACTTGAATATATTTCTATTCCAACATCACTAAAATTCTTGAACATTTGTGTATAAATAACGCTTAGTATATCTGCTAAGGTTTCAGTCGACAAAATTACATTAAATCCTTAAAATAATTATATTTTTAATTGCAACGGTCTATTGAGTATCGATATACTCAAAATAAAATGTTTATGACAAAATTGTATTTTACGTTATGGTTCCTTGTTATTTTTTTTTAACATTCGATAGTTATTTGTAATATTTCTTTAATTATGCGTTACAAAATAAAAGATGTATACAAGATCTCATATAAATAATGGAAAATAATTAAAGAAATTATAATGTTCAAAGACCAGATCAGATCAGATTCAACTCAAAAGATCGAGAAATTATAGTTTTTTTGTCGCGTTTTTTGTTGAATTGATAAAAAAATATGCTATTTTAATAATTACCAATTACATCATCATAAACTAGAGAAACTTCTCTTTAAATGAAACGAGAATTCGTCTATTTTAAAATAATTTTCAGAGAGCTATTAAGCAGCTGAACAATGCTAAGTTATTTATTTCCAAAAATTATAAATAGATCATGTTTTTTTTTTTGTTTTTTATCAGTCTCCTACTAAATTCCGAATTTCACACTTTTGGAAAAACATCATTGTTTTACAAGCATTAAGTTCATATAAGTTATGGTGAAGTTTAGTTAGATATAGAAGAAGTTAAAATTTGCCTCCAGTACGTAAAAAAATATTGTCTTGAGCCACGAGGATTTTCAAGTGCCCGTTTGCGATTATTTCTGAAATTAAAAATCCCATTCCTAATAATTTTAAAAGTATTTGGAAGTTTTTTTGTTCTTAAATTTCCGAATACTTAAATGTTGTAAGATTTCATTGGCCTATTGCAATCGGCTTCATCTATTCTGTTGGCTATTTATTTAGTTATTTAGTTCCATACCCGATTTAAACCTTTCCTTTATCTTCTTCATATGTTATTTCTATCGTCAAGGAGCCTCTATCTAGCACAGCCAGTCTTCTCGTGCTTAACGGCTCCATATGATCGAGGAACTTGTCTCTTCTATCTGCAATCCTCTGCACGAAATCCTGAAATGAATCTCTTGAAAGCCCCCGTTATCTCTTCTCATTGGGTCGAGTCTCTAATATTTTTAAAGAATCCATGTCTTCGTTTATGCGGCAGACAGTTATCTTCTCAGCTTAACAATTATTCTTATATGAATACTTTTTTTTATATGCATAAACAGAGTGTGAAAGAGTAAAATGTTAGAAAACAGTAACAAAATTCTAAAATTACATTCTAAAAATGTATACAATTTCAAAACATACAATAGTATCTCCCAGAAGCTTGATGTAGAGCGATCTTGATAAAATACCATCCAAAAAAAAAGATTATTGCCAGTTAAAAAAGATTATAAACCTATGGATACCTTGGAAGCACATGTTATGTTTATGTTTATTATTGTTTCGATTTACAAAGATACCTTCATTAAAAAAAATATATACATAATTAACGTATTAAATAATTTTGATGAGTGCGAAATCACATAAAATCTTAATTAGCCATATACGTAAGCCCCCCACTCGCAACCGCCCAAAAAATAAAATAAAAGCTAAAAAAGAAACAAACATTTTTAAGCGAAAATCCAGAAATATTATTACCCAAAAGACTAAATCGTTATATGTATTTATGTTGTTAAGCATAAAAGGTAACACTGTTGTGATTAACAAATGTTTGGCGGTTACACACAACAAAGCCCAACCTTTTTAAATCGTTGACATGTTTTGATGAGATTTTTTCCAAAACATGCCAAGTTTTAATTCTTCTTCATCATTCCGAGAACAGGTACTAACTATTTTGATGATACATATTTTATTGATTGTATTACATGTTCTAAAAATGATTATATTTCAAATTTAACTGTTATCTATCATACCACAGGAATTGGTATTTAATGATGTGCCCAAAGAGTGGATTGATCCAAAAATATGTGAAGAAATTGAAATAAATTTAGAAAAGATTTTTAGGAAAGAACAGGAGTTTCTGGAGAGTTTAGTTAATAATTCAAAGTCAACTGTTAATTCATTAGAAGGTTCTAGAAAAATATTTTTGTCTTTTTGAATTTTTACCATCTAATGTCATTATAATAAATATCATCTAATGCAATTTAAAATATTACAGATAAGGTGAAATATGAAAAAGACAACTTGGTTCGTAAACGAGAGAAAAAATATTTGTTACTTGCTAACGTGATTGCTGCTAAACAGTCCTTAGATGAATTGCTTCTTAAGAAAAGGACATTGGAAGGAGATAATAATGATGTTGTTTCAAGAGATGAATTATCTGAGATGCTGCAGAAAGTAGTGAAATTAGAAAAAGGTACACATATTTTAATCTTGTTTAGATGATTCTTTAAAACTACACTTAGAAAAACTGTAAAAGATTATTTTCACATATTTGTTTTCACTCTTTTATGTGTTAAAATGCAAAGTTTATAAGGTCTGTGTATTATGGTATTCAAAGTAAAACAGTTTTCTGCTTAAACGTTAATGGTGCAATTGTAGTTAAATCTCTTCTTGCTAAATAGAGCTATTACAAAGTGATTAAGCTCATGTTGAAAAGACTTAAACATCTTTCCTTATTGAAAGAGCAGCGGTTGAACATGTTTTAGTCATTGCTCCCTTGTTGGGTTTTAAAAAATTCATGGCATCCTTGTCAGGCTATAAATTTTTTGTAGCACTTTTGTTAGACTTTAAAGAATTTGTAGCAGTTATTCTTAAAGTAGTGATACAATAGAATCTTTATCTATTTTTGGTTAAATATATGTAAAGTAAATAAAGTGTAGCCTTAATATTATCTTAGGTTTGATTGAATTCCGTTTTAATTATGTTATTAATAAATATGAAATCATAAATTTTTATATTTATTCACTTAACTAATAATTTTAATCTTAAAAATTAAATAATACTGTCATGGTACCACTGGTATAAACTGGTGGTACCCCACGGTGCCATGTCATCCTGTAAGAAATAATTTACTCATACTAGTTAAAAGTAAAAATAATTTTTTTAGCCAAATAAATCTGAAATGCTGAAAAAAGTTTATGTTCAATCACTGGGACTTTTTCTTTTTCATTATCATTATTTGAATATTTATTTTTCAGAACAGCAAATGAGACAAGATGATATGAAAATGAAATTTAAAGTTTTTATTGGGCAGATGTCATTTTATAAGGAATATTTAGACATTTACATTGACATTCCAAACAGCAATGATATCATTCTATACTTCAGAAAATGCAGAGCTGAAGACAATAATAAGCCTAAAGAATGGTTACATATTAAAACCGATGATTTTAAGAAATTCTTGGGTGAGATTTATTTTAGTTATTTAATATAGTCCTAGTAGTCATGTTATTTCTACATTTTACAAATTTGACCCAAATCAAAATACTATGTTAGTTGATAGTGGCTTCAGAACATACAGAGCGGGTGGTGTTGTGCAGTACCAATCCATTTGGTTCATCCCAACCCTAGTCACTACCAGAATTTTTTTATTTTCTCTCTTGATTTTTTATTCTTCAGCTATTTAAGCTTAGCAAAGTCTTTATATCGACTTAATTTATTTTAGAAAGGGAAAAAAAAATGAAGAGAAATGATTCGCTTACTCTCCGTGAAATTCTGAATCCAATGGTACCCCATTTGAGCATGATAGGATTTCGTACAAAACCAATTTCAAGCCTTAGTGAAATAATACACGTGTTTATCAAATCACAATAACTGAAAAGTTGGTTAAAATAAAATCATGATTATTAAATTCACAGACCATTGAATAGGAAAACTAATGTTCTATTTTTGCTTAATGCAATTAGCCTTATTAATAAATTTCAACAAAAATTTGACAGTTTTTTAGCAACTTATAATTTAGACCATAAAAGAATTTTTTTTTGCTTGATTTGTTTTTGGGAAATACTTCATATAAATACTCTCCAGTTACTGCTTTTAACTTAAACGTTCTTTATTGGTATCAGTGTACATATTTACATATATATTCACTAAGCTAATTATTAACCATTGAACAACAAATATTTATAACCAAAAACAATAAATATAAATAAACACTATGAAACAACACTTTTAAAATTTGAGGCAAAAAATATTTGATATATGCATTCTCATGGCTTTCTTACCACTTTCAGTGCGGATGATAATGAAAAAAAAGTATCTTTTATGATATTGGTCCTATTCAGTTTATTATTATTTTTACATCTCAAATTTATTTAAAAGTTTAGCCTTATAGACTGATTAAATTATTTATAATGTTTCAAATAAGCATCTGGAATGTTTAAATCATGAGTTATTTGAGAACTTAAGAAAAATGGATTTCTTTATGTGTGCAAAGCTCAATATATCATAACTTAGCTAATACTGTTTAGATTTGGACCATATGTTTTTTTAAAATTATTTAATATTCAATATGGAAATAAGTGTTTGTTTATTCAGCGCAGAAGCAAGTAAGAGAAAAAATAGTTGAAACACAATTGGGTAATTGTATAAGAAAAAATCACATAAAATTCAAGTGATAACAAACATATATAAAAATGAGAATGTATTGTTTTAATAATTATAAAAATATTCATAATTAGTTATCAATTTGAATTAATAATTAGTCTTGAAGCTTTGGTAGGGTTGGATAAGAGTGGCCAGATCCTTCATAGCTTGATTCTGCTGCCAAATACAATACAATCCTATTGGGTTGATGCGGAAATAATGCAGGTTTCCGTCATTGCTATGTTTTAATACTAATTATCTAAACAAAGCAAATCCTAAATATTTATTCTTTATCTACTACTATATACCTTATCTATTACCCTCTCTTTCACCAAGAATTTAGTCAGTAAAACAATTTTTCCAGGATGTTTAACGGTTTTGAATCAATTATTTCAAATTTATTTTATGAATTTAAAG